CTAGTAAAAGTGGACATGGATAAACCATTTGAGCTACACAGTGACGCTAGTAATTTCTGTGTAGGAGCCTCACTAAATCAATTACAGGATGACGGTTCTTTGCGTCCTGTTGGGTATTTCTCTCGGAAGCTAAAGCCCGCGGAAACACGGTATTCCACCACCGACCAAGAAGCATTGGGGATAGTGTTAGCCTGTAGATTTTTCCATCATTTTCTGTGGGGTTCCCAATTCACCATCAAGACTGACCACCAGCCGTTAACGTCTGTTTTAACAAGAAAACTAAAAGTCAAAGAATGAATAGATGGATGTTGGAAATGAGGGATTACATATATAAGATAGAGTACAAACCTGGAAAGGCAAATCTAGTCGCGGACGCATTGAGTAGGCCGGTAGGGGCCCTAAGGAAAGTAGCCAGGGGTAGGATGGTAGGTCAGCTCCCTCAGCTAGATGGTTTAACGCCTCGGCAGTTAGGAATAGAACAAAGAAAAGACGAGAGGTGGGAAACACTGGCTAGTTATTTAGAAGGAGGACAGGTACCCAAACATAAATATCCAAAGACGACTATTGACAAATTTGAAGTCGCGGAGGGGGTATTGTATTTAGTAAAGGAACAAATTGACAAAGCATTGCTGTACTGCCTTGTAATACCTGATCATTTGCGTAAAGCAGCACTAGAGTGGGCACATAACAGAGAGGCCTCAGGTCACTTAGGACAGTGGAAGACTATAGCCAGAGTAGAAGGCCTTTTCTATTGGCCAAATTATCGCAGAGACTGTGTGAAATTTGTAGAATCATGTGAAGTGTGTCAAAGGTTCAAAGGGACGAAGGGGTTAGAACAGCAATGGCAGGGGATGTCAGAAGTAACTAAACCTTTGGAGAGAGTATCTGTGGACTTGACAGACTTACATAATAGTGCGAAGGGGTATCGCTATGTGTTGACCGTCATAGATCACTATTCTAGGTTTGTCAATTTCTACCCATTGAGAACCAAATCCACTCAGGAAGTGACCAGGGAATTTAGTAAATTCATTCATGTCTTCGGTAGCCCTGGAGTAGTCATTGCAGATAATGGAGGGGAATTTACCGCAACACAATTTAGAGAACTATGTAACGTAACTGGCATTAAGAACTATTTTACATTGCCTTACCACCCTAGAGGTAATAGTGTCACAGAGAGAATGCACAGGACCTTTAAAACAACACTTGCCATCATGTGTGAAGATAATCCACTTCAGTGGCCAAAATTTCTCAGTCCCGTGCAGTCGGCTCTGAACACGTCTGTCCATGCCACAACTGGAGTACAGCCTCATTTTGCTTTCTTTTCAAGGCATGTACAAAGACAAGTAGGAATTGACTTACCTATAATAGAGAGTGAGAGCAGTCACGAGTTGAAGGAAGCCCATAGGTTGATAAAAGAGGTGTCTGCCAGGATGTCGCGAGAGACCAGAGAGAGAGCAAATAGATCAAGAACGAACCAAACTATGCAGTTAGGAGAAACAGTATGGGTGAGGAATGAATGGCCCAACCCTGGGACCAGTAGGAAGTTGAATACCAAGTGGAAGGGTCCGTACACTATAACAGAAATTATACGAGATGGTGCCGCATATGAGTTGACTAACCCCTTGGATGAAAGTGAGGTAATAAAGAGAGCGGCTGAGAAAGTAAAGAGGTATGTAAGTAGAGACATGTTTGTTCAGCTGAATGAGTCCTTCCTTCCACCCTGTGATTCTTCCTCGGGGTCAGACGAAACAGATGAGGACAGTGATGACGGAAATGTGGAAGGTCAACCTGCAAGTAGATTCCCTGTGAGGCAGAGGAGACCAGTAGTTAGAATGGATTTGTAGGAAATCTAGTTCCAGAATATTGCTTCAATTGAATATTATTGGCTTTCCCGTTGTTAGGTTGATTTGTTGAATTATACAGTTTTGGGCGGGGGAGGCAGTTGCTCCGCTGGTTTGTCGGGATGCTTTTTGAAGATCAACTATTAGTAGTGGTCTCTATATTGTCAGAATGTTTTTTTTGGGTTGTTGACTTCGTCAGTCGTACTGAAGTCACCCCAACATTATAAATCCCAGTTCGTATGAACTGAAGTCCGGAAACCCAGTTGCTGCCTATGTTGTTGAAAGAAAAAATCTCAGTTTATGTGTGTCAAAAGTTTGTGGGTTGTTGACTTCGTCAGTCGTACTGAAGTCACCCCAACATTATAAATCCCAGTTCTTATGAACTGAAGTCCGGAAATCCAGTTGCTGCCTATGTTGTCGAAAGAAAAAAATCTCAGTTTATGTGTGTCAAAAGTTTGTGGGTTGTTGACTTCGTCAGTCGTACTGAAGTCACCCCAACATTATAAATCCCAGTTCTGAGGAACTGAAGTCCGGAGGTCCAGTTGCTGCCTATGTTGTCGAAAAGAAAAAAGCTCAGTTTATGTGTGTCGGAAGTTTTGTTTGGGTTGTTGACTCGCTCCGGGTGAGGGAGTCACCCCGACTTTCAAATGCCAGTTCTGTTGAACTGTGAGATAGAAAATACGGGTTTTGTGTTATGAGCCCCAAAGTGTATGTCTAGAAACATGGTTTTGGTGTTGAAAAGGTGAATTATTATTGAAAGGAAGTAGTAATCTGAGGAAGTGTCTGATGTAACTAATTCCCCATTCATAGACAAGAATTTAAATTCCTTAGGATATGTAATTTCATGCAGAGAACTTTTGTTGTAGATGTAATGTCAAAGAGTCACTGTTTATGTGCTGGTGCCAAAAGTAGGTTGAGGTATTACGCTGATGAACTGTTAAGGGAATGTTCCCTATACTATATTGTACTGAGCTAAGAATTGATAAGTTGGGGTATGTATAGGTGACGGAGACTCGAGTATGAAAAGTTTGTCTCCTTATAATTTTCTCTTTACTGATATATTGTATACCGAACTAGCAGGATTGTAAACGGTTGTCTGATGTATATGGTAGCGGAGACGCTCGTAGGAAACGTTTAAGTCTCCTTATGTTTTGTGTGTTGGATTAAGGTACTCTAATCCTGAACTATTAGGATGTTGTAAAATGTATGTACACTACAGCGTTAGTGCTTTGCATATTATTTCGCATAATATGAACCTTTGGGAGGGGAAGGCTATGTACTGCGCACATCATTGTCATCCCTAAAAATCCCATCTAATTCATATTACGCTACATAACATTCAAATGCACAGCGCTTGTAGAACCCCAGAAAACGGGAAACATTGAGAAAGGACAACTCACCTACTCAAGGTTCCTAGACCATGTGTGGTATTGTACCCAGGTATAGATATATCATATCAAGTGTATGTATTCATAGCATTAAGGATCACTCAGGGTAGGCATAAGATGAATGTTAAGTCCAGTTGAGCCGGACTAGGGTACTGTAAGACTAAGTGTGGAGCAGGGTTTGAAGGTCCTACTATTTACGTCTGTGAGCGTGTAGCGAACCTAACTCCAACAGATATCATATGAAAATACATACGAACAATGATCGGGAAAAAGGGATAAATGTATCAGAACTATGTGAGGTGTTGACAGTGATCTAGAAACTATACTGGAAAGGAAATATCGTGTATGCGTCGGTATGAATTTAATACACCTCGTAGCCTCACGTGACATATACCCACGACAGGTACAGTGATCAGAGAATCTGAGGTCTGTGTTCAAATCGTGCGCTGCGTGAGAGGAGGACCCCTCATTACAGTTTTTAAGTGAAGTTGATACACCCCCGCCATGATCATTCGGCTTTTGTTTCAAGGCGCGTCATGTACCCGCCTCAGATGCCCGTTGATATTAAAATCCCAGGCATTTAACCAAGCACTAGCAAACCAAGACCTGACCTTAGTGTATAAGTTAGGATTAATATATGTGTTTATAAGAAATGAGGGACAATATACCGTAAAGTGTTCAGGGGAGAACCATAAAAAACAAAAATGTAAATTGAGGATTGGAAACTGTAGGCCTATGTGACGAGAAGCGGCGGGAAGCCGGCCTTAGTCTTTCCCGTTCTGCCGTCAACACAGGTCAGTGTCCTAGCGGGCTATATCCCGCCCTACAATTAAGGTTGATAAATAACAGTGACTACAGTTTAAAGCTTTGCCGGATATATAAGTGTGATAGGGATGTGTTAAGGGATGGGATAACCGCCCGTCAGGCATTATTGCTTAGTCTTTCCCGTTCTGCCGTCAACACAGGTGCCACGTGGTTGGGGTATCTTGCCGCCCAGCCGCCATTGTCTCCTGGAGCGCCACACCAGGTGGGGAATTACTCCCCACTATACCAGTCCACTATGAACCGGTGGATTCCCAGCGCACCACCCCACATGATTAGTCACAACTAAGGAGACCGTGAGAAACTGCGGTCGTCACTTGGGGCGACCTATAATACCAGGCGTAGAAATAGTGCTGGTATGTCTCTAGGTCAAGCCCTCGTCCTTACCCACCGAGGGCGGTGTGCGAACGAGGGGCCCGTGGTGTAGACCTAAAAGTCACAAGGAGTCACATACTTGCAGGTATGGAGTGTAACAGGTGTGTTGCGATGGTGCTACTATGTATGATAACCGACGGTGCTACAAGCCACACCAGTGGACAAGTCTGATGTGTTAAGGGATATTGTAAGAAGGAACGACCGAGATACGGCGTTCACCGATTGTTGTGCAATAAGTGGGTGGATGACCCGCCAGTAATGTAGGAGTCCGGGGCCCAGTTGGGTAACCAAAATTCCGTTGTTCTTCTGAGGAAGGCCAGTTCATGTATGTTTTTTTTACCAGTGTGTTTTATAAGAAATAAATCAATGAAGACATGTTATGGTTTCACCCTTCTTTACCCTTATCGATCTGATCAATGGAAAACCTAACCCAATGCCTAGTCCGCTCTGCCCGCTACCTAACGAGCTACAGGCTGTCCAGAGGGGGTCTGGTGGCAGCGACCCTTAGGAATTAAGATTAGAGTTAAGTTATCCCTTTAGATTTAGTGACCCCAGATCTGGCAGTATAATACCATAAACACAGCATCATTGGATAGGATTTTTCGACTGCATAACTCTTGCAATGCATAGCATTGCAGATGCAATGCACTCGGTGTTAGCTACAAGCTGTAAAAAACTGTCACTCATTTGTGTTTGAACACGAAGCATCTCTCGAAGAAGATCTTCATCTTTTCGGGCAGAAGAGGTTCGTGGCCTCCTGCCACTTCTGCTGGTACTTGGCATTGGAGGTGAACCCATTTCACCAGTGGAATCACCAGTTACAGTTGACCTAACAGCTGTGGCAGAAGGGGTACTAGACCTACTTCGCTGTTCCGTGGTAGCAGCAATAGGTTGACGAGTATTGCTTGAACTACATGTTTCTACCTCATATGTCCCGGATGATGAAAATCCAGGAATGTTTGTAGGTGCTGAAGTTTCAGGTTCTAAATGCACAATGGGCACTGTGATATCATGTTCCTGTATATCCTCATTCAGAATGCAGGTTATAAAATCATCTTTCTCTTGAACGGGCCGAAACATAAATTCCTCTCGGAAACAACTACCGGTAGCTGTAAACCTAGCTCCTGAGGGTCCGGGGGTTGGTTCTCTTTCTTCTTCTGGAAAGAAATGTAGTATAATAGGTTGATTGAAGTCTATGTTAAGAGTATAATTAAAATATTACACTGTATTTCCAAATATACAAAAGCTTTTAGGAAAAATAATGGTTTGAAAAATAGTGTTGACCATCTAAATATATTTGTTTAAAATATTTTTAAATCTAAATATCAACTAGGCGTTAAATTTCTTATATTTGCACTTCTCAATTTTGTCCATTAACATACGAGTTATAACAACATTTAATATATAACTTAGGGAAGCAATAAACAAGCTAGAAATGAAACCAACTTACTAGTGTTGTTATTTTTCAAAATATATATATATGAAATCAGTATTTCCAAATCAAGATGTGAAAACATGTCTCCAAAAGTTTTTTTTAATTATAAAACAAGGACAGAAAAGAACAAAATATATCAGGGGGTTGGAAAAGTATTTTGACTGAATTACCATTAATAGGTTCTTCACTTTCAACATCCCCTGGAATCCCATGTATAGAGGCTGGATCTAATAGTTGAAGAATTGCTTCTTCAATTGCAGTGTATGTAATTTCAATTTGGGAGCCGCCACCTTGAAGAGAAAATATAAATAATAACTGTCTTACTGTGAGCTGTGGTTACATACACTATACGCTAACTATGTTATATTTGGCAGAAATCATAGTTACAAAGGAATCTACTGAAATAGTTCCAACATTATAACCTAACCTATCATTGTAGCTGTAGCCACAAAAATTCTCCTTTATCTATGTCAAAAGTTAATTAGATTTAAGGTAACAAACAATAAATGGTAAAATAAGTCAAAAAAAATAGTCGCAGCCAGAAATTTTCAACCTGTATTAGTTGTAAACTCATAAGATAGAACATCCTTGCCTATAAGCCTAACAAAGTAAAATTTACATATTAATGTATACCAAATATGAATATAAATCTATTGATGAATGAAAATTAACGACATAAAAAAAGGAATTCTATGGCAACTTATACATTATGACCTTCATTACCGTCGGAAATAACGTAATTATTAATATGTAGTTTATAACAGTAACCAAACCTACCTAACCTAGCTTCCTTTACCAACGGGAGGCCTCCGCCGCCCTGCCACACAAACTCATATTAACTATCTCTGCTGTTCCACGTCAGTTGCGACACAATGACAAGTGTGTCTTAAAATTGTGTAATGTATATGATAGGTATAATAAGAAAATCCAAAAGTTGTGGGGAAATTATTAACAGTAGTACAGACTTCCCTGACTACCGGGTGGGAAGATATTGGAAGCATAATGTGTACTCTAATGGTAGACCCTGCTGCCATATGGCATCACGAAAATTAGGAGCAAGTCTAAGGTTGCTAATCTGACTAAATGTGTCATTTACACACAATTGCAGGGTCGCAATTGTTTCTCGTAATATCAACAACACAACATACATACTGTATATTGATTCTCACTTTTTGTGTTTTCATTTCGGTATTTATGGTTATTTATTATTAATATTATCATTAATAAAGAGGTATTTTTATTAATAGTACTAAAGAATTATTATTACAGGCCCCGACGTGGGTCAGTGACTGTGCCTGGGTTGGTTAATCCACGTAAAAAGAAAAAAAAAATTTAGGTTGAACGGTAAAGTTTTTACTATTTACTCACACGGAAAACTTCGAAGAACGATGTTTCTTTTAATGAATGTGCTCATATAAGGAAAATATGTGTATTCATTCACGATGGAGAGCCACCACACTACTTACTTCCTTGAGTTTACAAACACGTAAAATCGTACCAAGCCTCAGAAAAACCATAGTTAAGTTTGTTTCATATTATCAATCAATAACCACGCTAACAATATTATGACTTACCTGTTCCACCAGCATATTTCTTATCTTGTGCTGCTTTTTTCTTAACGCTAACACGAAGATCAGAAAACTTCCGCCGAATTTCAGTAACATTGCGGGTGACTCTACCAACAGCATTCACCGCATTTAACACTTCACCCCAGGCATGGTTTTTTAGTTGAAGTGTACATCTAGTTGAGTCCAACTTCCCTAAAATCATTTCTTTTCGTTTGGCTACCTCAGTCACAAGAGCGTATACTTCAGCCTCACTGAAATTAGGCCGTCTCTTCTTGGCTGGTGGTCCTTCCATGTTTACACAATAATATTACGTGCGTCGCTCTCAGCTGATTTCACCTTCTCTTGTGATTGGTTGATGATTTTGTTAACTGAGCGTTGATTGGCCAACGAGCATCTGCACTGACATCTACCGTCCGACAAGAGAACTTAATTTACAGGGTAAACACTAGAGTTATGAGAACTTATGGTAGTCTTACGGAACCATAATTAAATTTTGAGTATGCTAAATTTATGGTACTGTAAGGCTTCCACAATATATGGTACTGTATCATGCTGAAAAACGTAACTTTTGAGGTGTTTTGAGTATCCGGCCCCTTGACATTAGGTTATGCAGCTGGCAGCTTAAACACCTTAAACAAATTCACGTCTAGGTGGCCCTAGGGCCGGCCATCCTCGTTGCACGAGGAGCAACCATTATTTATTAATACCCCCCACATTTTTTTTTCTTTTGCATCTAATGTTAAGTATTTTTTTTTTGCTGGTTTTGGTTGTTTCCTGAATAATAAATAACATCTCTTATGTCGAAATGAAATATCACACCAATCCTGTTCTTAAAAACCAAGCACTTTAACCATATAATTACATCATATAGCTGTAGTATTATGATCTATTCACGATCAAACATTCTTCTTCACATTAGCATTCAGACCTTTGACTATAAATTAGCGATTCCAAACCGATGTGTGGCGCCAACTCTCTCACACACACAGATGAGAGATAGGCAGACTCACCAAGGAAGCATGTCTCTATCGCTCTCTGGAAACGAACTCGCAGTTACAGCTGTGTCCATAAATATAGTGTGCATAATAGTGTTACCTCAAATAAACTAAAAACACACAGCAGAGTTTC